TGGTATATATCTCTGTTTTAATATGTGAACTATTGTTTAAGACTATAAAAACATTATAGTTTAACAATTTAACATGATATTTTCTCACTATATAACTTTCTTCGCTTGATATAAGCGAGATGGTTTCGTCAACATAACGTGGTGCAGTTGGATCAACTTCTTGTCAAGAGTGGAACGACATCAAGTGTATTTTAGGGTGTCTGAATATATCAATAATGTAGAGGCACATATAGTGATGTTTTACCTAATAGTTAGTCAAAATGATCGTTATTTATTTTTAGTGTACTCTTTGAATCACTTCACCCTGTATAGTGAAACTGCGTGAATATATATATGAAACATGAGATCATTTCTATATTTCTCGTAACATAGGTATATCAAAATTGTTTTTGTCAATCTTAGTGTAGAAAGCATAATATTTGTGTTTTATTTATACGGAATGATTCAATTCACAACTTGATGACTAACCATGTATAAAGTATTTTGTTTTATGCTTTAAGCGGTTGTTTTGCCCGTTAATAACTTCAGCTTGTCTGTTTAAATCAAAGTAATTGATGTAGTGTACCTGGCATATGTATTGAAAACAAAGATTTATGGTTTCATAGAAAATGAATTAAAACATAATTCTTAGAGATATGTTGCAATCTAGTTTGTTTTTATGTTTGGCTTAGGGAAGTTGCGGTTCATATCTTTATATAAATATCAATAGGTAAACTTATTCATGACATTAAAAGTGAGTGTAGTAAGTTCAGAACAAAGTTCGACCCTATAAGTTCATTTCATTCATTAAATTTTGTTTCTTGTATTCTTTTCTAATTTACAATTGAGATGTTCTAACCGAAAGAAAATTTAATCTCACCAATTTTCATTTGAATCACATATTTCATGACGGAATTAATACTGTTTACTGTATAAATATCAATATTAGTACTTAAATTTAGTTATGAAACTGCTGAGTAGTTTAAAGATAAATTGATAATGGTCTCATCGAAATCAGTACGTGTACTAGCGTTTGCATTCAAAATTGTTTATACACTATCGGTTTGGGTTATTTACCAACAGACTGAGGCAGTCCTTTTCTCATTACCTTTTATTGTAGTTAAAGTGTTGATTCTGTTTTATCCACTAGTATTGTGAATCTAATTCATGGTTATATATTTACAATCGATAGTTAGCTATCTGTTCTAGGTTGAAAGATCTGATACTTTTATTATCGTTGTTGAAATCATTGAAATGTGAGTAAATAGTTATTTGATTTATTTCACTGCTACGGTGGCATTATAAATTCTGGTTTCATTTTCTTCAGTCACATTCTTTTTTTTCAAAATTTGTTATCCTCTCTTTCCCTCTAGTTCTCTTGACTTGCGCTCATATATATATATATATATATATATATATATATACTCTTAACAGTACCAAAGGCAATTAACTTAGTAATTTCCTTTTCTTCTCTCTCCTTGGTGAGTTTTATCTTTTCTTCTCTCAGTTCTTTATTAAAGTAAAAGAAAAAGTAATTAGTCTATGTCATATCCATTTTCAAATATAATGTGCTTTAACGAAACTTGCTAACTAACTGACTAACTATTGAATTCTCTGTTTAACATATTTACTAACTATGAATGAGTTTGTTCTTTTCTCTTTTGTTTGTTTGTTCTCTTCACCGATATCTTGTTGTCTATTTGTTATTATTTTTATTAATGTTTATCTTCTGCTTCTAATCAATTGTGGATAGAAAAGAATGATGGTTATTTCTGGATGAAATATTGCTTTCTTTTGGTACACATATATATAATTATAAATTTAAAATCTTATCTATTCGTTTCATTAATGAATATCCATTCGAGAAATTTTTAAATTTGTGTCAGTTTCTAAGGGTTTATTGATTTACAGGATAACTTAAGTTGGAAATTTCCACTGCCTATAATTAACTTCACTTATGAATGACTTCTTCTAGTCTTGTGGATTCATTCTTTGTGAAGGAAGAATCGTTATTTAGTGATATTGACCTGTCTTCTGTTCATTGTTATATCGTCTTAAATAATTGTTTGATTACTGTCAGAATTTCGGTGCCTAGTTTATTTATTCACTATTATTCTATCCATAACTCGAAGTTTATTGTTTGTTCCTTCTTTGTGTGTGTTTCTTTAGTCTTTCTTAGTAGTATAGTATTGATAACTATTTTTCGTACTGTTTGATATAGGCAAACACTATGATACATCGTTTCGAATAACCTTATTTTTGAGCATTATTCAGAGATTTAGTCGGGCTACTAGTTGGTACAAATTAATAATAATAGTCTTGTTCGCTTAATTTCATTATACATCAGTGTAGAATCTTTTTTACACCAGTGATAATGAATAAGGTTCGAGACTATCTGGGCATTTGCATCCGCTTAGTATCACAGCTCACACACAAGTCAAGGGACTTGTGTGGCTCATATGTATTCGGTGTCACTTTGTATCAACATTTATGTATTCAAATAAATAAGGTATAAAAATCTATGTGTCTATCAATCGTCTATAACAAGTAATCTAATTGTTGTAACGGTGGAATATTATACGACAAATAGTTTGGACGGATTCGGTCTGAATAAATAATCAATAGTCATAAAGATGGAACTTGAATCATGCTATTGATATCAGTGATACAATCTAAGTTTGGAGGTGATTTTGAAATCGTTCAGTAAAGCACACTAACTATCAATCTAGGAACCGTATGAAATATCTCAATTTCGTCTCTAACGAAAATGATCTGTAGTCATGTGCACGGGTTCTTGTACTGAACATACTTTTGGAGTAAGTAACCGATTATTTGTAGTTGCGTGTAGTAATCGGTGTATGGATGAATTTGTGTTTCTGCTTCCCCAAATCTGTTTGATACGTAAAACAAAATGGGGCTATTTTTCTGCTTTTTCAATTTTATGCAATTTTTATATATAATAATGGGAAGGTATGAAATTTCTAATGTATATTTCAATGAAGTGAATGCGATCTATCCGAGTAGATTTATAATTATGTATTATGTTTGGCTAAACTGGTTTATAGTTTTCTAAATACGGGTTTTTCTGTCTTCATAAACAACACACATCGTTTCAATTTTCACTCGTTATTTCTTCGTTCCTAAGCTCAATTTACCTGTTTCCAGTGTTAGTTTATCTATAAACGATAAATGCTGTTGTTTTAACAAAGCAGAATTAATCTTTTAGGGATATAAGTTTTTACTTTTAATAAGTTGAGTTTGAATTTTTTTAATACGCAATTTATTATTGGGGCGAAATCTATCTGTTCATTCACTTGATAATATTTATCGAGAAGAATTATTGTTGGAAGCATGAAGACGCACAGATCTTTCTATAATAAGAACTGATATACGATACTCATCGAGAAGCAATTTTTTAGGTCATAGTGAATTCTAAATTCGTCTACATATATATAGTTGCATTATTCTGAATCCTAATACAGTGACTTACTTTTACTTCACACTACTACTACTACACTTAATTGTTTTAATATGCTACTTATTGTTATAAACTATCTTTGATGTCATATTGTTGTTCGAAACACGTGCGATTTCTGTTAATCTAAGTACCTAAGTCTGTAACTACTGCTGGAACATGTAATCACATATCTATCTCCAATCCAGGCTCAATGTGTTCATTAGCCTCCCTCTTTTGCCTTGACGATTCAAATTTAGGAATTACCTTGTAATGCAATTTAATGATTCCCGCAAAATAAGTCCTATCGACCTGCAGCGTCTTTTGCTAATTCCCTCATCAACTGACGACTGGTTTTCTCTCTGCTGACAATCTATGGCCGGTAAATCTGGAGTATCTCGTAAGGACAGCTGGTTTATAAATTATTTTCGTAATGGTTCTTTATGTTTAAGCATCGTACAATAATACTGGTTTAGCGTTGTTGAAAATTCTGACATCAGTCCGTTAGTGCTCTCTTGCTACTTTTGATTTGTTTGATCGCATTGCTGACTACTATTGTTAGTGGGGTATAATTTATAGGAAGATGTGTGTGTTCTACTTCCATATTCTGTAGCGCTAATGTATTGAAGAGTTCTTCAAAGTATTCTAACCTGGCATGTTGAAGTTATTGTTTCTCCAATCAGTTACTAATTGTTCTCCATAGTGGTTTCCTCTTCTTCTTGTAGGTTCTATAAGACTTGGAAATTATTTCTAGAAGCTATCATAAGCTTACATCTTCAAAGAAGTCTATATTTACCTCCTGTAGTGTTGCTTGTCCAATGCTTCTTCACTTCAGTTCTAACTTGATCATCACCAGGCGATAATCGGAATTTATATCAGCTCCTCTGTTTGTTCTTACATCTTTCATGGACCCTCAAAATATTTTTTGTCCCACGTTTGATCATTTTGCTTTCCCGTATTGTATTTTGGTGAAAGCTATAGGGTTTTGTGTATGCGTTTGTGGGTTAAACTGCTGCCTCCTTTGGCTATAATCTAGTTTAGCACGATCCTCGTTTCTCCCTCTCAGTCTTTGTAATACATTCATACCCAATGTCGTTCAACCCAATTTTTGCATTTAGGTTTCCTATCATGATGGTACGATGTTTTTCTGGACATTTTTGTAGGTCTGTCCGCAGCCTCCCGGAGTTCATTTCCGTTAGTCCAGTATTCTTTTTCCAGTTAATATTAAATTGTTCAATTTTAAGATATCAATGCTTTATGCATACAGACTATCTGTATTGTGCAAAATATATACTTGATTCTTTTTTCTCTGTTTTTTTTAGCTTGAAAACTTTCAATACAGCTAATCAGTAATTTTAAGACATTAAAGCGTCGAAAATATTCAAGGGTGGATTCGCGAAAATTTGTAGTTCCAATCTTTTAGCAAGTATTCAAATTATTCATTGAATTTACGCTCGTTTCAATTTTCATCTTATTGTTTGTCAATGTGCACAACTGAATAATATTTTCTGTGTACTTCTATTGTATGTAATTATATTTATACGTATAAATTCATCAAAACAAAAGAATGGATCATCCAGAGCCGATTTCTAAACGTCCTATAGAAATTCCACAATGTCGTAAAGGTTTCAATTTAGATGAAGCAAAAAACTTTATCGATCAAATTATGGAAGTATTTCGTAGTATAGATGATATGACAGATCTACGTTCAATGTATGAAACTGGTAAACAACTAAGTCGATCATATTTTGATTGTCATACGTATCGTTTGGAATTAGCTCAGTATTTAACTAATTGTGATTATCCTGCCTTTGCGTCGAAAATGATGAAGAAATTGAATAATATGGGTGTGTTCAAGAATGATGATATTTGGTTCTCTTCATTTTATTTCTATAATACAACATGGAATTTTTCTGATATTTGGCCGGAATTTGCCACTGCTTTAGCAATTGCTGGTCTACCAAATCTACTTAATTTAAATATTGGACATCAACCATATTTAGAGAATTTAAGTAGTAAAAATGTATATTATTTAATTAAAGCTAGTTTATCTATCATACATAATATAGCTCGTGTTCCAGGTAATACACATTATTTTGCATCTGAATCAGTTCGACAAGCTCTATTACATTTAGCTCAACGTGAAGAAGAATTTCTACGCTGTGTTTCCACACTTTGTTTAGCGCACATTATTACTGAGTCAGAAATTCATTTAATTACTGACATATCAAATGGTGGTATTGATTTGTTAAGAATTTTATTTGGCTATGTCACATCAGCTCGTGTTTCTGAGAAACGAAGATGTCATGGATTCCAAGTGCTTGAATTGTTATCCTCTGTTGCCGCTTTATCTGTTCTTGATCCCGTCAAGGCGAATTTATTATCATCACCTGTTAATGTGAATTTGATTGCTGGTACAAATAATAATCAAAGCACAGAGCATAGTATGACATGTCTAAGTTTACTGAAAGAATTAATTGAAACTGCATTACTTCCTAATTCTAGTCCTGTTTCTGTTAGAGAAGCAGAAGAAGCAGTCCGTATCTTATGGAATACAGTTTTTGATTCATCCATTTGCACAGGAGTTTTACAGATACAATTAACAAGTTGGTTAAGTGACACTATGGCAAATCATACAGTTGCTTTACAAACTTATAAATCTCTTTCACGTGCAATCGAATCTATTAATTGGCAATTGAATACTTGTATTTCGAAAAATTCTAAAAATGAACCTACAGAGTGTGGTCCTGTATTATTATGTTTCTCACCGTCTAACCGTATTGCTGTTAACCGAGTGGCTGATCGTTTAAGAGATGCTGGGATTATGCTTAACAGTATTCCTTTTGGTCCCGAAGTAATACCATCAGTAGATGCTTCAGCAACTGGACTTACTATGTGTGCGGCTAATGCTACAAATCATGCTCAGTGGGTTGAATCTATTGAACAAGCCTCAGTTATGATCGCATTTTTAAGTGATTCATTTCGCTTAAGTCCTGGTTGTCGATGGGAAGTGGAACATTTTTCTAGTTTTGATACAAACGTATACTCAAAACCTATTATTCCTGTTATACTACAACCAAAATTTAAGTTGACTGGCTGGCTGAATCGTCTCATTTCTCAACATCCTATTGATTTCAATGGTAAACGGGATCCAGAAGCAAGCTACGATGCTTTAATTAGCCAGGTAAAAGAATTTTATGGAGAGGCAAAGAAGCGTGCGGAGGCTGCTGCCTTAGTTGCAGCACAACATCAGTTATCCATTGATGCCAAAAAACACTTAACAACTTCAGGCGATACTGGATTCCCCGGGATACCCAATTCAGATGTAACGTTGAATCACGTCAATGCAAGCCCCGCAGTTAGTAGTCGGGGTTCTCTGGGTCCGTCTCCAGGCATTAAACGTGAAGATCCAATTCATCTAAGTAATCAGATAGGATTACAGAAGATTTGCAATCAAAACATGATTCCTGTGCAATCGAATATTACATCCCGACCTTTGGCGACTAATGCCTGGCGTCATGCTATTCGTCCTTCAGTTCGTAATTGGTCAACCTGCAAGGTTGCTTCATGGTTGAAATTTCGCGGATTGGGCCATGTACCTTCTCAAATAGCTGGTGGCATAGATGGTGTTTTATTGTCCCAGTTAGCTGGTTTACGCATTTGGGCTCCCGAGTACTTCACTCACTGTTTACGATCTGAACTAGGTCTTGGTTTTGCTGATTCTCTACGCTTCTTAGAAGCGTTAGACGAGCTTGCTCCGGAGGATAGTGATGCCCATGATGTTGAAGATGTTGATGATTGTGTAGATGGACGTCCGCATTTGGGAAATCATGATGGGGCATCGTCTAGAGCATAGTAGTTTGTCTGTTTAATTGCAGACTACCTTGTCTGTTACAACACAACGTTGGAGTTGTAGTAAAGCTTTTTCAGTCTACCTGTACCAATGAACTATGCATTAATTGAATTTTTCCAGTTTAGCTGCTTTCATTGTTACAGTTACTTTAGACGTAATGAAACGGCTTAATTGACGCTATTTTATTTTTTAAATCTCACTTCACCTGTTCATAAATGTAACATTGTTATAATAGATATTTCAGTAGCACTCACTGTTTTCTAAAAAAATAACATTTTTTTCACAACTTAGCTCATTCAAGATCTGTTATTTTAAATTGTAGTTGAAGTAAACTTCAGATTAATTTCACTCAGTTAACATTTTGTTCCATTGTTGTATCCTTTTTTCACTCGAACATCCTGCTATCATTTTTTTCTCTCTGTTTTTTTTTTCTATTTCTCTGATCAGTTTGATTTTGATTTTCTAGTAATGTAAAACTTGAACAGATTACACATTCATTCATGATAAATTGTAGTCATTCCTTTTTATTGGTATGAAATGATCAATTTGTATTACATTTTCTGCTGTATTATTTACCATGTTTGTATTGTGTTGTTTGATTATCCTTTTTTCCTTTTTGTCAAATATAATGTATGACTATATCATCAGTTAATAGATTTTCGCTCCATTCACTTGTAATCTGGGACTTGTGTATAATTTTATTGTAAATTAATGAACTCTAATTATCATAATGTCATAAGTCTATGAGTAAGGCTTTTCTATTAGTATATGGTCGCAAATTAGTGGATTTCTCTCTCTCTCTCACACACACATACATTATAATTGCATTTGATTAGTTGGAAGAAACCAAGAGTAAATTTTTCCGTTTTTTTTCTCTATTCAATCTTCGTTTCGTTTTTCTTTCATTTGTGTATACTTCGTACTCGTTTGTAAAATGTGTTTATTATTACTATTTTTCCACGTTACATTGTACTGATGGTTTTTTGTATGGTTCGTTGACTTCTTTTCGATCATTTATTGTTTTATTATTTATTATAATTAAATAACAATAGAATTGTTTAATTATAGCTAGTTAATTGAAAATAACCAAACAACTTCCCCCTAATATTGTTAATGCTACTTATTATGGTAATAATACCCTACCTCTCTACGAATATATATACATATAACAGAAAAATCAGAATTAGTTGTAACTTCTTTGAAATTATTAATAATTACAAATTTTTAGACGTTAATAATAAGCAGTTTGATTATCGTATAAATTTCTAAATTATTATTGTACGATACAATTAAAAGAGAGAAAAAAAAGAATGACACATGAGATGATAGACAAAAATTAAATAGATACATCTTTATACTGAATGATAATTTTGAAAATTATTATACACTGTTATTCTTTTCTTTGAGAAAACATTGACAGATACCAGTTTCCTTATTATAATATGGATATTTTATGTGTATGTGTGTAGTATTTGTAGATTCATTCATTTTTTAAATATATATATATAGGACATTTTTCTCGGACCTTTTTCTCTGTTTCTCCAATGTATTAGAATTTGTCAATGAAATTAACTGTAAAAGCATCAAACAATTGCAATATTATTATGTTGATGTGTTTTAGATGAACTGAATTCTTTTTATTAACAAACTATATATACATACAATGAGGAATTATATTTATTGTTAAAATATATTAAATTAGAAAGAAGACTTTATAGCAAATGAAGTGAATGCGTATTAATGTCAGTAGTAATGAATAATCGTTATCTAACATGTGTATGTGTCTATAGTTTTCCTTTAACATTCTTTTTGTTTTCAAAAAATATAATACTATACCTTAAATTACAAAAATCTTATGGATCTATTGTGCTTGGCTGTCATAATCTTCCCAGTTTCTCTGTTCGAATTGTGTTCAAGTTTTTATCTTGTTATTCAATTTCAATATTTAGTGAAAAGAATTAACAGGTTAGCTTTACTGTAGTCCAGTAGTATATTATGCCACCGTGTAATAGGCATCGACAAATAATTTTAACTGTTCATATTTTCCTGTTGTTGATATTCACTACTGAATTCGCATTAGCCGTTTTTGATGAATGTTCATTCTAAGCCAGTTTTGTTTGAAAGTTTCGGTGTTCAACACGATTTTCAGTTGAAATATTTTAGGCGTATTTACAAGCCGTTAGGGCATAAACTTTTGAATGTAGAATGTCATTACGCATTACGTTAGGACTCAGGTAAATCTTAAAAATGAAGTATTTTCACAGTTACGTAGATCAATAAAAATGTAATTTAGTGAATGGACATTGGAATACTGTTTTTATCTATGTAATAAATCTCACGTAGTGTACTGTAGAACACTTGTCATTTACTGGAATAATATTAGTTCTCCCATCCATCCCACTCCTTATAACCTACCTGTATTTTCAGTCGCCAATTGCCCATATACCACCCATGAAATAGAACTTCGTGCTTCGGAGCGTGTTCATTTCTCAATGGACAGTCGTATATCTTACATGAGGCGCGGATTACAAAAAGCAGACCGAACCTTGTAAACCCATCACGAAATTTTTTCTGACTAACGTAGCGTAAATAAAAATCAGTAAAGTAATTTACTTACTGTGTTACCTCTTGTTTTTCTGAAACTATATAATGTTTTTGACTAAGTAGTGATATGATTTATTATTAAAATGCTCATTACATCAAATGTTACCCCTCTACAAACCTGCTTGTTCATGCCAATAAGTCTCCAGGACAACAGTAGGAAGATTAAAAGCGTCGTCGGAGAGCAGAATATTATGTTTATCTCATTCCATATGCTAAAGGCCACTATTCAATAATTATCCTGTGTTACACGTCATATTTTATGCATTGTGTAGAACGACTGAGTGGACCTAGATAATATATCAGTCAATTAACTGTAATCTGTGAACATAAAAGTACATCGTGACAAATTCTATGGGGGAAAAGTAGCCTACAATTTTGACTAATCCACTTGTTTAATTAATACACAGCAAAATATATAGACTAATTCTTGTAAAATAATTTTCACAATCCTACATTTTCCTTTCCTCTCCTTCTACCACATATTAAATGGATGGAAAAAATAAAGATTATTCGAAGACAGGGTCATTGTGTACAAAATATCTGTTTACTTCCTAAAAAATTATATTGTGCATAAATAATTTAGCTGTTTGTCTGATATCTGTAAGATTATTTTGAACAAGGTAGATGGACCATGAAAAGCAATCTTTCAATTTCTAGAAGTTTATATCTATTTCCATTACAGAAATATCAAATAGTAGAGCTTGACATGTAATTGTAAAAAACTATTCACTACACAGAAATACATGTTCAGTCGGTATGCAAATACAATGGAAACGTTGATTGATCAATATACTCAATATGATCATTTATATTATGAATTAAAATCTAACGCAAAGGAGTTTCTAACTGGTCAATAAATCAGAACATTGCTTTTGAATTTAACCGTTTCCTGAAATTGGATACCGTGAATTAATGATCATTCGTTTAATATTTCTCATCAAATGATTCTATCTAATAAAATTGACAATGATTTAGGTCAATTAATGCTAAGATAAAAATTAAATTCTATCACTATCATAATAGCCTTGAAACGAAAAATCCTGGAGCTAAAATTTCCAGATGGAAAGATAAATGGATCATCCGTATATCCGTGGTCATAGAATGAATAGGATTGTCAAATGGGAAGAATAAATTATTTTAAGAAATTAGAGTCCCTGCTATATTTAATTAAATGTTGACCCAGTAGATAAAAACAGTATACTGGAAATATAGTTAAGATAATTATTGTCAGCTTCATCTTAAGGCGGAATATCTAGTTAATTAATAGAACCGGAGAATATAAACAATATTATGTGCTGATTTTTTCTACACTCAGAAATAAAGCGACATAAACTTGTTAGCTTTATAGCTGGAAGTAAACAGATCTTCATCACTTATAACAGAATATCTTTCTAATTATAAACTTGGTAGATTTACTGTCCTATGTTTTATTGAATGGGTGATGTTACGTACAACTTGTTATAAACTTAAGTCACATCCTACCCATACTGGATGTTATTCTTGCTGAATGATCCTACTTATTAAACTATAAACTTACTGTCCTCCTTCATTACGTAGAAGTAACTATGACGAAACTGAAAATACTTTCAATTTAGACGATTTCGGATGACAAATCTAATTGTATATGTTTTTTTAAATATAGCCTCAAGGGACATAATTTTTAAGGACAGTTAATGCTTTTTGTATTTCAGTCAAACTGTTCGCCTGATGATAAAGAATTCTGCAAACAACAAATTTTTATTTACGATAAACTGGAATCCTTTTGTTTATTAAATAGGAAAAGGATACGAGAAATATGATGACCAATAATCATCTGAATATAATAATGTGAACTTAAAGCATGACAGGGACAATATTATATCAGGGTTCGTTTACTAAGAGTAATCGTCATCGGATATGAATGAAAGTAGTTTTTAGTGGATTATCTTCAAGATAATTCTTTCGTATATCAATAGCCTTGATGACCATTATTAAATAAATCTCAACGGTTTATAGATTTCGAAGACAATACGAAGCGTCAACTACAGTATATTATCGAATAGCACAAATCACTAAGCCACAAGCACACGAAGTGAGTTCGAGCAGAAATACTAATGCAATTGAATATAGAGGCGAGTGAAGAGTCGTATCAATTAGTAGGGTTCAAGCACATATATATAGGAAAGTGAATGATTTAATGAATAATTAAAGCTAGAAAGAGGGATGTGTACCAAGGCTACCGAATATGACAAAGTATACATGTTCATACAGACATGATAGTAATAATAATCTATACAAATTGTCACTGTTCAATTAACACTGTCTGTTAAAAAAAGTTAATTGAAGGGATCAACAAAAGTAAACGTAAACAAACGTAAGTGTAGAAGAGATGTTATGAGTTGAACGCTCAGTTAATGTTT